TATATCTTGACAATTCAAACCTAACTTTTGAATTTATATAATATTTGCTTGCAAGTCTTGCCATTAAGGAAACCTTACGACTTATTTTGTCAAGGAACCCTACATGTAATATTATTGAGTTTAGAATTGGTGACATGATATTATCTAACAAAAAGTCTTCTGTGTGATTAATTCATATCCAAAAAAGAAATAATAAGGTTTAGAAAATTAAATTGAGTTATTTTAGTTGTGCATGTTAGATAATACCATGCCAACCGTTCTATACTCAATGGAAAAAAAAATAGATAAATAGAGTTATTTTTTTAATAATAAGAAGGCCTAAATCCAAAATGAAAATTAAATTTCAATCAAAATGATGAGTAGAAACTCTTTATAAATCGATTTTGTGATGATTTAAAAGCTAATTAGTTAGTTTATTTGTTTGTGTTACTTGTTACAAGCTTAGTTTGATTATTGTGATGAAAACTTAATAGTACTATATGTATGCAAGCTTGTAATTGATGAAATTGATCAATCATTCTACCATTATTAACTAGAGTTTACTCATAGTCTTCTTATTACTAAATATAGCTTTGTTTGTTTTATTGGTTGCAAACCTTTGTAATTAGTTATAATCCATCACGTTCCTCTTTTTATTTCTCTCTTTGTCAATCAAATTTGTTTTCTTGCATTAGACACAAATTTAAATTTTGCACCATCATCATTTTCAAAGTTTGATGACTTTTATGATCATTGGATAGAGTTGATGGAGAATCTGATGCATTCAAAAGAGTATTTGAGTTTGATTGAAGATAAATCATGATGACACTTATGAATGTCACAGTGAAACTTCCTACTTAAAGCAGACTAAAACAAAAACACAACTCTTCGCAGAGAATTTGAAGTTCTTAATATGAATGATGGCCAAAATTATCACAAATAACTTTGTAAAAACACTTGGAATTTTCAATATGTTAACTATTCGTGGGGAGAACATGATTGAAATCTTGTTAGTTGAGAATGTCATTCTATGTGTTGTGTAAGTAATATCGTCAAATGGTTTTGATAATGAGAACTTATATGATTCATGATAATGACATCTAATCAAAGAAAAATATATTATGGTTTTTGATGATGACATTTGATCAAAGGAATAGATAACATGGTTCTTGAGGATGACATCTGGTCAAAAAAGAAATATCTTAAGTCTCACCAGTCAAATGTTTCAAGTTCTGATTGAAAGTGCTCGACAAAGGTTTTTGTAACCAAGTAAACGCTACTATATTAAAGGGGAAAAATATGTGCATGGGGCTAGACCTGATCCAAAAAAAACAAATGAGAAAAAAATATAACTGAAACTAGAACCT